TCAATTTTACACACCTTTTGCACTCAGACAGTGTACCGCGTAGAGACACTTCAGTGAGAGCTGAGTTCTGGGATAGTGCACAGTTCAGAGGAGAATAGGCATCTATACAGATGCCGGTGGCTAAGCATGTATTGAGCTTATTACAGAATAATATTTGTATCTATATTGGTACTTGATAAGCCAGTGGCTTCAAGCAATGTTTGATGCAAATCGCTGGTGATGTGTGCCAGTAGCCGGTGGCAACCTGCGAAGCCCAGCGGGATCCGGTGTGTCTCACTGCCATCCACTGTTACTCACTGATACCCACCAGCCAACAGCAGCAGCCACTGGAGACTAGCACTGGACTTCACTGGATACCAGTGGGTGCCAGTGAGTACACCCCATATTCAGTGGAATTTGGTGTAGTTGTCAGTCCCGGGCATATTACTGAGAGCGCGTCCTGCCCGGCGCGCCGCTCGGACAGGTAGGTGTCGATCGTGAAGTCGGGGGGCAGGTCGGGGAAAAAGGAGAGTAGGTGCGCGGCGGCTTCGCGTTCGGCTGGGGAAGAGAGAGTATGAGTGAGTGTGCTTGGGGCGGGCGGGATGGGAAGAGTGGGCGGGACGTACGTTTGCCCATGAGCCCGGCTTTGATGTCCCAGGTCATCTCTTTGCCGTATCGCGCGAGGATGTTATCTGAAGTATGAGCATGTGAGCACCTTCTGGCATGCGTGGATATGGATCTAACTCACTCACTGGTCACTTCGGTGTACACCCTCTCGGAATCGATGAGCAAGCCTATGACCGTTAGATAGCGGGGATCGAGGTCGACCAACGTTGGACCCACCATCCATGTCAAAGATGACATACTCGACCTTGGGACTCGCTGCCATGATGGATGCGGACGATGAGGGAGCGTGGTCAGTTAGTCAAAGTAACGGGCAAGCCCAAGATTGACAAAGTCAATAGAGAAAGCGGGGCATCGACTCAATAGGAAGGGCGCATCAACCGCAAGATCCCGATCAAAGCTAAGAGCAGGCGTCCGGGTTTTTGGCGCAGCTGCTCTTGTCCCGCAACCTTCCGCAATGCCCAGCCACTATTCACGACAGCAATCTCGGCACCTATAGAGGAAAGGCAGGAACGTGTGACGGATGTACCCATGTGCTTAGTCACAGGCAATGCATAGGTTGTAGTTGCGGTGTTTGGTAAGCGTCCTACCGGTCTCAGAGGCCTAGTATTACGACGCCAACATTCTCCTGCATTCTGACATGGACTGGCGGGTGGAACTAAAATCCTGCATCAAACATATGAAGGCACTCCCATGAAGGGAATGAAGAATACGTTTACCGAAATTGACGACCGTTATCAGCCACAAAGCTACCCGAACCGGAGCTGCAATTTCGTCAATGCGATCACTCCATACTCGTTAATTTCTTGTCCTTCTTTCAGATACCCCTCCTCCGGTAACCATCACAAAGTCCTTGTTTTCGATCAAGCTTGATTGGTAGGGATATCAGCTCAAAGTCGTTGCAAATGATAGCTACTAGAACTACAACTCTATAGTACACGTAATGAAAGACGAAGTAAATCTTCCAAGACCAAAGGTGAGACTACTACTTGCTAGCACTTTATACCTTGATTAAACTAATAAGCGAGGCCATGCGTAGGCAGGCCATCTGGGAAGAACTTGTTGAAGAGCTCTGGATAGTGACGCTCAGCAACGTCGGGGTGGCTCCTACGAGGACGACCAGGTTAGTACCGGGTGTGATGAATGTAGAGGAAGCACGGCTGGGCGTGCACCGTACTTTACACGGCCGATCAGGGCTACGAGCCCGGAAGGCAGCTCGTTATATTCTGAATAGTTGATAGCTGTAGACGGTGAGCTTTGTGGCGTCTACGATCTCCTATGAGTCACTTACAGTCGGCGATGACCTGGCCACGGGCTTCTTTAATCTTCAAGATCCCGGCGGCACTGGCGACTTATTAAACGGCGGCACCAATGATAGACATCTGGAACTTACTATCTAAGACTTGGCGGCCGATGACGGTGCCCTGAGACACCATCTGGAAGAACGGGATAGAGTAGCGCGGGGTAGAGCCCTTCTCCGGCGAGAGTACCCGGTGCGATGTCGCGATGGCCACGCCCTGCGTGACCGTCTCGAGCGCTACAAACTGGTCAGACCAGAAGATCTGGCCTCTGGAGACCAGTGACGTACCCTTTCCGATGTTCACGACGAAGGTGCCGGGCGTAGGCGGGGCATCGATCCACTGGCCCGAGCGGTTCTGGACCTGGAGGCCGCGGTGCGGCGACGCCTGCAGAAGCTATCGATGGTGCGTGGGTCCCGCTTCTCTTCTTCGCTCAAGCAGCACCACTCACCAGCGTCAGGAAGCCCCCGTCGAAATGCGGGCCGACGCCCTGGTCGGACGAGTCGTCCGCGGGCGCGGGGTACTTGACGATCTTCGCGCGGTCCTCGTTGCCATCCTGCTCAAAGAAATGCGCGAACGCGTCCGGCGGGAGCTCGAGCGCCTCGGCGACGAGCGAGAGCAGCCGGTAGCTCAGCTTCTGCAGCCCGTCGATGTAGCTCGCAAACGCGGCCCTGAAGCCCGGCAGGAGGTGCTCCTCAGGCCACTGGCACGCACGGATGTGGTTAGCACGGCGCGCCTGCACAGGACCTATTCAGTTGTGCGCTCACCTGGGAAGGGCCCCAGAGCTTGAGGTACTCCGGGTCCCCGGGCTGCCACTTGGACTGCAGGGAAGTCCCGAAATCGTACTGCTCCCGTTGGTCGACTTTGCCCTTGGTCAGCTCGGCCCCGAAGCGACTGTAGCCAAAGAAATGGGGCGAGTGGACCATCCGGAGCCGCTCCTTCTCCGCGTCGGGCAAGTCGAAGAAACGCGGGACGTACGCGATAATCGCGTCGATTTCCGCCTGCGGAATCGGGTGATTCTTGAGGTAGTAGAAACCGACATTCGTCAGGGCGTTGCGCAGCTCCGCGAGGAACAATGGCTTGGTCTCAGGGTTGGAGGACAGAGAGAAGTCAAGGATGGGGATGCTAGAGAAGTTAGTGGCCATCTTGGCGAGTTGGTCCTCTGTTGAAGAGGTGTAAGACTCAGGAGAACGGATCGTTGAAGGTCCTTGCGGTCAAAGCACTTCAGTTGAGCTGTATTTATACCATTGCTCCTGGATAAGCAGCGTCATTGCTCTCTACGGTCATCGGCGATAGCTAGAGGCAAAGGCACCGCCCACGCCACTGGATTTCCAGCGTCTGTACGATTGTCGACAAAGATTCGCACGGACCCTGCGACAGTCCTACCGAAAGAACGGCCGTAGGAACTCCGTCTTTGGGCGACTTTCGGGCTCACGCAGAATACAGTAGCATCTTCACACGCTCTATGGGAGCAATTCAACTCATCCGTGCTAGCATTCCAACATGTCTCAAGTTGGCATAGAAAGCTGTGCTTGCTATGGTACAATGATTGTTGGAGTATGTTAGATGCGAGTGCCCCCTGTCAAGAAACATCCCTGGATGTTCAGTTGACTGTGATCTGCTTGGGTGCTTGCTTCGGAGACGTTCTCGAGAACGTCACCATCAAGACACCGTTTTCCATAGTTGCCTCGATTTCCTCAGGCAGCCAGGATACGAGATAGCTTTTTGCCCAAACCAAGAGAAAGTAGTGCCTATTATGTTCGCCTTGGTTCCCTGAGGCAGCTGCAGCGACGTGACGAGCTTGCCGTGACGCCCGTCGTGCAAGACATAGCCCTTTTCGTCCTTGTCGGTAGCCAGCTTGGTTCCGCCAGAGACGATGAGTATGCTGTTGTAAATTTCAATGCTGACGTCTTACTTCTTCAAGCTACGGAAATCGAAGATAGTGGTAACGTACTGTGCTAATTTTCTCGTCCTCACGGAGATCAAGCCTGATGTGATGGGTCAGCGACAAGACCCCGGTCAGGAGGGAACGACATAAACACCTGCCGCTGGAGCTCGCTACCGCTTTCACCGCGAGCATTGAGTGCGTCGCCGACGAGACCGAAGAGGGTCTGCAAGGCAGGGGGGAAGAGCGCCCAGTACTGGTGGTAGCAATTGTATGTCGGATAGAAGGAGTATGAGATGTTCGAGCTGTTGCTAATTCTCTGACTGTTATGTTCCATTCGACCAGCAGAGTCCCATTTATATTGCATTGCAGTGCTCCCTACTAGACGCTTCGTCGAGACTTCGAATGGCTTCTAGGAGTGACGACAGTGAGGGTCCACATCGCCTACACGCTTTACAACTCAGAAGATGTTTCAAGAGCTTTCTGTGCATTGCGAGTCGTGGATAATCCTTGTCGTTTGGACGCTCTGGCTCGGACATGACGCCAA